AAATTTTATTGATAATAATACCCGATACAAAAAACACCACGGAATATCCTCTCATGGTGATGAACACCATTACAACAAACACCTTAACCTCATATAACCTCATACAAAGCCACAGTCTAATCACCTTACTTCTAATTACACCACCAGCAGTAGGAATAAAATAGCGCAACAGAACATAATGCAAATTAAAAGCAACACCTACAGCCATATGAACTAAAACAAAACCACAATTGAAGAAACAAGATCTAATGAGACTCGTCTTCTTCAAGAGCCCAAGAGTTTGGTTTGAATGAAGGCTCTATCTCATGCACTATGACCTTGAAGAAGTTGTCACCAACCTTCAATTCCACCATTGCATCAATTCTCGCATCAGCCTTTGTGAGGACTTGAATTTTTGCCCGATCAAAGGATGATGGAGAATGACAACTTTCGTCGATAGCTAGTAATAAACCCCACTTATCAGCAATGTTCTTGAAAGTATTCCAATTCCATGTGTGAAAAGGAACACCCTCACAAACTAACCATACTCGACGACACTCCATTACCAAACTCTCTGACCAAGCTTCGACTAAGGAGAACTACTCTGCGAGAATCTTTGATTTATCGTTCTTTACACTTCTCAGTGAAGCATTGTCTTCGAAAATCATTAAAATCGGATTACCAGCAGCTCTCATTAAGTTGAAGCCAGTGAGGCCCTTCGCTTGCATTTGTCTAGCGAGATGACCAATTTTGACAAAGTCCTTGCACCACCCCACTAGACAATTGCTCAACACCTGAAGTTTTTCTTCATCTATAACACCTTCAACTTTAAAATGATTCATCCTCGAATCATCTTCCATCCCGGACTTGCGAAGAACACCTGTCGAGGACTTTCTCTAATAGGAATGTCGAGGTTTGAATTTAGCGAAAGAAACACCAATTTTGTTGTCGTCGATACGAGAGCCATTCATTTTTGAGATTGCTCTCCTTGCTTCTTCGATTGATGCGAAGCGAATAAAACCAAAGCGAACTCCTTTTATTTGGAATAAAAGCATCAAGTACCTGACCATGAGAGCAAAAAAGAGATCCAAACCTCTCCCAATGAATATTCTCTGGTAAATTTTCAACAAATAACGTGAAGCATCCAGACTTGTCAACTCTGCAGCCCTTTGTGATCGACTCCCTGAATCCCTCGTGTACACCATTTACTGCAGATTTTTCATCGTAGCAAACTTCTTTAACTGACACATGAAAACTAGGAGATGCACAGAAGCTGGAATTGGCAATGGCAGTACTGGAGGAACAGGAAAACCTCCATACTTGTCAAAATCAGAATCTGTAACTACTCTTTTAACAACAAGATTCTTCCTTGCCATCTCGATGTGCAAGAAGGACTTTAACTTAGCGTCAAAAACTATTTTCTGAAGGGCATCCTTGGCAGCAACTGCAAATTTAATAGTTGAGAAGAGTGCAAAACCCTTGGGCTTATCTCCCTTGAAGCTCAAATGTGAATCTTCAAAACCTGGAAGCCATCTCAGAAAATTCTGCAACTCTCTCTCTTTGACATCTTCAGGCAGACCCATAATGAAGATAGTATGAACCTCATCACGATGAGAAAGGTGAGATGACAGAGAATGCACAGCTGCAGAGGGTGAAGGAACTTGAACCGGAGGTCTCATCTTGAGAGAAGGTAGGATTCCAGCACTTGGCATGATGACTGACTGTTGAAATAAAACACCTAGAGACTTGACAAACTGTCCTGGATTTTGAATGCAGATTTGAACGAAAAAATCAGAGAAGTAAAATGCTAGGTAAGATATGCCTCCAAACGTGAAAACCCAGAGCCAATAACTACGATCTGGAAAAATAAGTTTTTCTCAAGAAGATCCGTTGACCAGCAGTGATTATTCACAGTAGAGAACTTGGGTTTTTGTCACGAGCATCCGATGAGTATAGTGGAACGGTTAAAACGAAACTCGGGAAACTGGTGGTGGAAAAGAACGGCGAAGAAAGGCAAGTAGATTTGCTCCGATTGAAAAGGAATCTAACAAAAATAACCAGGAAAAAGGAAACGTTGTGGGTAGACGAATATCCTTGAGAAAAACGGCGTCAAAAGGATGTCGGAGTGCGGCGGTGGACGGTGGTCGGAAGACGGCGAACGGTGGTTGGAGGTCGGCGGATGATGGTCGGAGGACGGCGGACGACAAGCGACTGAAGGTGGAAGACTAATGATGGATGACGGTAGTGAGGGCTGTATAAACGACACCCATATTTTCTCTCTCCCTTGGAAATTTGAAATTTGAAAACGCCTGGTTAGAGAAGCTGGAGCTTCTCTCACTTCAGAAGTTTTTAATTTTTCCGGATAAGAAACTGTTCTATTTCTAAGGTATATTATCTACAAAAAACACAATTTGAAGAGGCCAAAATTATAAGAATGTGAAAGAACATCAGGTTTTTTATCTCCTCAGATGTTAAGAGCTGGAATCACAGTTTTATCCTACCTTTTAGCATTTAGCATGAAACAGTCACAATCGAAGCTATCAATCCATGTTTATCAACAAGTCAACACCAAACAATGGCCCTAAGCCAATAAATGCAATGTCTAACTCTAGCCCTCTAAAAAGAAAACTATTCTACTCCTAAGGTTTATCCCCAAAAACCACAACTAGAAGAAGCTAAAAGTATATGAATGTGAAAGAACATCAGTCATACAAAGAAACAAGCACACTCATAACTGACCTGAACTTCTTCCTGAAGAAAAGGGTCTCCAACAGAACAGTGCAGGGGATAATTGCCAGTTTTGTCATCTAAAATATAAAACAAAAGGATCCATTCAGCAATTGGTGCTCCTAATATGCTTGTAAAAATAGGAAGAAGGGCTAAACTTTGAACTTGATATACATGGCACTAACGGATTCCATACCCATTGATGCTGTCAGCACAAAAGTATCATTCTGTACAATTTATGTTGGAATCAAGCGAAACTTGGGCATGACTTACATATGAATCAAGAGAATAACGACATGAAATTAAAATTTTACCTGGTAGAAACCAACAGAGTTGAAACCCAAACTAAGATTCAAAAGCCCGATGGATATCCCATTTAATATACCGAAACCCATGACAGCTCTTGCATCAAAAGGTTTATGCTCAAACAATTTCATCCATAAGGCCACATGAAGAGAGCAAAATGTGACCAGGAGATGCCAGCTTGTCAAAGTTGTGGCTGCAGAACCCAGACCCAATATTAGCAAAAGGAACTGTAATAAAAGATTATAACTTATTCTGATGATGCTTTTTTCGACTTGCTGGATGTCTGGTAGGGCTTATTAGATGTAAGAAATATGCCAAAAATGACATGCCACATCATCATAATTGGAATCGTGAACTAATTCAAAGGCAGAAGTTGAGAAAAGTTTCTCCAATTAAGACACATAAGGAAATATGACACTTAACACTAAAAATGATGCAGCAATAACAGGAACTTGAGGCGACATACAAAGATCAGGCAGTCTGAAGATAAAACCTAAAAGAAAATTTCTTACGAGATCACAGCAATGCTAGACAAAACCATGTGAACTTTAGCTGCTGAACTAAACTATCATTTTGGGGAATATAATATCAAAGTATAAGGACACCATACATTGTCTTATACGCCCCATAAGAAAAAGAGTAGCAAGGGATGGATTGGAAAACTAAGCATTTCTTTCTTAATCAACTGTAAGTTGTTTGATCACTCAGTGAGGAAATTGAATGCTGAATCTGTGCACTAGTGATGCTTCCAAAGTGCAACAGTTCAATCATTTTCATGTTCATACGCATACTAACACGCGCACAGATTCAGATTCATATTAGATTCTAATCAGTCACTTAGCATCGCCTAAGGGATTGATATTTCCAGAGCATAATTATAATGATGTGATAGCATAACTAATGATAAAAGGGAAAAAAGATGTGAATAAATGAATAAAGTAGAAACCGACCAAAGGTGAAAGCGAGAGTAGTGATAAGAGCCTTGTTGCAAATGACAATGGAGACAGAGGACACCACCGATAAAGTCAAAGCACCAATCGTCCCCAGCTGAAACTTCTGGTTCTCACTCATACTTGTCGTTTTCTAAGCTACGTATTCGATCTCTGATCAGGATCTACGTAAATCTCCGTCGATTGGGTTGGATAGCCGACGAAATGAAACTGGTTGGAACGAAGAACCCTGGCCCAGAGCAAGATCTGCCGCATTAAAGGAAGGTTGAGGCCGAAAGCCCTGGCTTGGGCTGAAGCAAGAGCTGAGAAGGAGAGGAAGAAGAGGACGAGTAAGAGTCCGATTAAAGGGGAAATCTGAGAAATAGAGACAGTTCGGGTTTGAGTTTGCTTATAGCATATAAATCGTCGGTGTTAATTTTGAATTAGTAACACGTACATCATAGGAAACTACAAGTGATGGCAGCAGCAGCAATAGGTAAACCGGTTGATTGTCGCCAGTCATCGATCGTCATGTGTAACAAGATCAACACTAAAATATTTGTATTTTATTATTTTTTTCTTTTTGAAGTATTTTTTCATAAAACTCACTCAAAATGAATAAAAATTCAGATAAAAGATTCGATGCGATAATACTCTCAAAATGGAGGGTTATACCAATAAAATTGTATGAGTTTTAAAGAGAGATTTGAGAAAATTTAAATTTAAAAGTAATAGGATATAATGAGACGAATTTATATGTATTTAAGGTGGGATCATAAAAGACATTGTATAGCGACATTTTCTATTAATGTCTAAGAATAGGTGAATAAATCCTAATTTTTATTAAACAAGAGATAAAATATTTTTTTTTACTTAAACTGCCATGTTATTCAATTATTAGTGGGTTAATGATATAATCCAAAAATAAAATTTAATGTTAACTATAAAATAGATTTAATGCGATTTAGTTTACTCTACTAAATACATCCATTTATTTTCGTATTTCATATATAATTATCTAATCATATCGAAACAAAATCAAGGCTTTGACATAACACATTAGGTCTATAATAGTAATCCCTTCAAATAAATATCACCACATTGAATACCGTATACCGATTTAACACAACTAATGAGCATATATAATTCAATTAATATTCAAATAGGTTTAAATGCTACTATATAATAAAAATCTAGGATCCCACCAGAATCAAAATCCCATTTGAATATCAATTTTGATTTCACAGCTCTCCTGCCATCTTTTCATCGTCCAATGTAGACCTTCCGATCAGTAATTGTATACTGTTTTAGCCTCTCTTGGTTGTTTTTGCTTTCCCCTAATCATCAATTAGTTTACATTTAACAAAGGCTGGGATAGTACTCGGATGACATCTTAAAAGCTTCAAGGTCTTTAATGTGCTGCTTCTGCTGCTGCAAACAATCTGTTTTGTTTTCACCTTCTTCTAGGTTGGTTTTGCATCCCCATACACGGATTGCGAGTTTTCGACATTTAGGCGAAGGTTCTCGCAAATACGTTTTATACCACTTCACAATGTCCGTCTTCTGGATGCTTTTGAGTTCCTCTGCTTCCCTCTTTGACATGTCAAACATATACCTGACAGAAGAAGGAACAATGCTATCATATTCGCACACGTATCTTGCACCAGCAAAACCCTAAATACTTTTCTGGACTAGATACATCTACAGAACCAAGGCAGAAGAATAAAAGAAACAGAAGCAATAGTCATGGTGAGGAGACTAGCCCAGCTTAAAATCCAATATTTACCGACATGATTGCCCTTCTCTGCACAAGGTGGTTGTATAGTGCTTGTAATGCCATAATCAGAATTATTCCATAAACAGGATTAACTTGCAAAAGGAAAATTATGTTTGTCCAACAAAAATACTATATGGATAAGTGTACCTATTATCGACAATCTGATTCCATAAGCGATTGGTCTCATATAAGAGGGAGGGATCTCTTTCCAGGAGCTTTGCTGTTAGTCCACTCCTATAACTCTCAAATGATTCGTCATCAAGCCCTTCCTACAATTTAAAACATACACGTCTTCATTAAATAATAACAAAGTAATACAGTTAAGCATTGAAAGAAAATAGCTGTGCATCCTTGGTAGGCTATAATAGAAAAGTACATAAGCAAACCAGCAAATTAGATAGCAGCTCAACACTCACCAACAACTCTTCCAAGCCATTAATGAAGCTGTCTGTTCTCTCCTGCAAGTAAACCGGGCTATACTTGGAAGATTGAATGCAGAAACAAAAGCCACAAACACGATAGGTCACTCGTGGGCTACATTCAACCACATAACCAAGTTGTTCCTTTGTCCTACATTCCGAATTGAATAAACAATTAGAGAGATCATTCTAATTTTTCAGTTTAGCCTTGCCAAAACAAAAAAGGAGACAAAATTAACATAGCATGCTATCACATTCGTTTACACATGCATACATCCCTACAAACAAATGATCCACTAATGCTAGCAAAAACATGCATACAAACATAAAGATAACTAGAGCAGCCTAGATAAGTAAAGATCTCAAACAAGGCAAGGTTGCACCCTTAACAGAATCAAGATAACCTTTCTTTTCAGCAAGAAAAAAAAATTAAGTATACGATTATTTCAATCAAATAGTTTCCCAAAAGAAAAAGGGGGAAATTTCGCTTTTTTTCCCCATCTTTTGGGTACTTATGTGCTCAAATGCCCTACACAGGCTAGCAGTAGAGAAGATTGATTAGCCCAACTTTAGACCTTCAGCCTTTGAAAAAATTACCTTAGTCGATTAAAAAGTGGTTCTTCCACAATTTCATCAAAAAGATCAATCAAAGCCTTCAATTTTACAGCTTCCTTCTCTTCTTCCGGCTCAATTTGGAAATAAAGCTTCAATTCAAGGCCAATGATGTGATCAATAATAGCATAAAGCATTAATAAATAAATAAAATACAAACTAATATTTCATAGAGAATCAGATCATCATCATGTACCTCAAGCACCGAGTTCGTTTCAGACTTATTCTTTACACTGACATCTCTCACGAAGTTGGCACCAGGGGGAAAACATATCACGTGCTCTTTATGCTTCATTGTGACTGGCATCGGTTGTACATAAAAGTTGCTTTTGAAGATATTTGAAATGTCAAGTACTTCCTTTTCTAATAAATTGCCATGGAAAAGGCCCTCAATATATATCTGTCCAACATATGCAGTTAGAATTTAGAGAAACTATCAGGCAATGAACCCAACAATTCAATTAATCATTGCACGTCCCTATAAACAGTAAAATGAAATATCAAGAAGTGCCAAAACAAACTTTTGGAAACTGTCATTCTAATTTCAAAAAAAATGCATCGATGGAGGGAAAACTAATTCTATATGTACATTTTTCTTTGAAATGTTTTGGTTCCACTCATAATTAACATTTCAAGGTTCAAATTGGAAATTAACTCTTCCAAGGACAACCATTTCCTCGTTTCATGGGTGATATAAGCCTAAGCCAAAAAATGCATTCTGAAAGGAAGTTAACAATACTTCACCCAATCTTGTGATGACTAACTACAAGAAGGTTTTGAGGACAATAAAAAAAAACCCTACAAGGTTCACCCAAATCAAAAGCAAATTTAAACTGATGGAAAACAATAACATGAAGAATTTGGCCCAACCCGTACATCATGTGTTGGTTTTACCTGGGAACGAAGCTCAGGAATAAAGGCCATCAAATCAGACAGAGAAATGTCATTTAGAAGACACAGCTTTTCATCAACGTCATAAAAACTCTTGCATAAAATCTGCAGCCTCAAGTAGGATGAGTGACTCAAAGGCTTCATGTTGGAGTTTCTTAGAGTTCTCTCCATATTCTCCTTAATTACCTGTCAGATGCAGTGTCAGATTACAAACTCAAGGAAAGCCATTAGAACCAATTCAATCTTGGTCTGTGTTGATTATCAGGAGGTAAGCAAATACTAGAATTAATTGATAAACTTTTTCATCTGGATTGTAAGAAAATAGATTAGTTTTATAGTAGATTTTTTAAGTGGCAATCTTAATAAAAACAGCGGCTGCAATTTACTTGTTCTTTCCCCAAAGGTCGACAGCTATGTTAAATGTACATCAAACACATCACAATTCGAGGAGATGTGTGTACCTTAAAACGGTCATTAGTAGGTGAAAAAGAGTTTGCGATTGCCAAAATTTTTCCCAGGAGAACAGGAAGTTTATCATTGAATCCATAAAGCTTGAGCTCTAACTTGTCACTGTACATTGCCACTGAAGTTTCTAGCTTGGCAATACTGGCCTGGAAACAAAATTCTAATCACCTTTAGATTTCAACAACAAATGCAAGAACAAACCAAAGTAACATATGGCAAGAAACAAGATGAAAACGAATGATGACTATGTTTCAAAAACTAGAAAAATACAGGGGCAAAAGAAATGTTTAAGGAGATATTATTTGCCAGCAACTCATAGACTGCTTAAAATAGAAATGTAAAGGGCTCAGCTTTACTATTGCCCAAAGATCCTAACACACATGTATTTTTTTGTTATCACAATTTTCTATTGAACAATAAAAATATAATCAAATTTACTGTTTAAGAAATCAAATGGACTGATCCAGTAACCCATACTCCAAGGCCAGTAAAATCTTCACTAAATAAATTAATAAAAAATCATGATTAAGTAGCTTCAGAACAAGTTAACTTTCTAAGATTCCATGCAACAAATTTCAATAAAAATAAAATTAATTACGAACAGAAAAGTTCAAGACAAATGATCAGAAATGAACCTGATATATAATCTCATTTAGCTCATCCTTGAGGAGGTGGATATAAAGTTCAGTCAACAAACAACTCTTCAAATTAAGATACGCCCCTTTCAGATTAATCCGAAAATATGTATTTGCTCGAGGAACTTTGAAAGTACTATCAAGCTTGTACCAGAACTTCATCAATGGCTCATCAAAAATGCAGATAGGCAATGTTTCATTTGCGGGATCAATTTCTGTAGAATCAGCTCGAATAGAGAAATCACATGGAATAAACTCATTTTTCAAAGGAAGATGCAATGAAGCATGAATATCTGGGGGGTCTTCCCATAATTCCATCAAAGATGAAGAAATTTCTTCCTCAGAATAAGGTGATCCAAACCAAGGCTCATATTGAAAATCTGCAAAAAAAAAAAAAATTGTGGGAATTTACAATGTAAAAGGGACAATCCAACCAACTGGTAGTTGCAAATCAAAGAAAGCCATATGGCTTCAAATTAGATCGTCATTGTTCTTAGACTCTTGGAACATAGAAACATGGTCTGATATTTTACAATAATAATATGATGGCTAACAGAACATGGTACCATTTAGCTTGAAGGATTTTGTTACTACATCAATTCTCATGTTTCTTGGAGTGAAGAAACCCAGAATCTTTCTTATCGTCTCTTCATCCCATAACTCATAGACATAGTCTCCATAGATAACATGTTCTGGTGGATAAACAAGCAAATTTTCTGCAACAAAGAAACACAAGGAATAATTAATGGAATGCAGCAGCAAATACCAGAAATTAGAAATAAATATAGCTTCCTTGTTATATTTATCAAAAACAACATTAAGAGTTCACCCATAATTCAGACAATGATCAAACAATATAATTTTTTTAATTGCCAACATTTTCAGCTTTAACAATGTTAGGAATTTACTAGAAACTCCTCATTGGTCCTAAGCTCTCAAAAGTTTCTAGAGTTAGCCCAATCTCACAACCCAATCAGTTGCATACAAACACTGATTATCAGCGACACAGAAACCATGTGAGTTTGTTTAACATACACGAGGCACATCAAAATCCCAACAAATTTCAAGGCATATCAGCACCATACCAACTATTTTCCACTTTCAATTTCAAGTATGGCAATGTCAGCAATATAAACAATTTAGCTGCAGCACAATTTTTCAACAGATGCAAGTTGAAATTTTAAAAGGAAGAGAAAAGAACCTGCAAGTTCTGCAGCATAATCATCCTGAGGTTCTTCCTCAGCAAAACGAAAATCCATGTTTCCCATATCCTGCAGTTCCTTAAATATCCATTCTTGAGGGGAAAGTTGACGCAATAATTTAAGATATTGATAAAGATAACCAATGATGTCAAATATCTGCAAGGAAAAAGTGAAGCAACATTAACAATTGTGGCTAAAAAACACAAAATTCGCGAAGCAACCTTAAAAAATATAAGCACATACAATATAGAAACACAAATACAGCAACAATCACAGTAGCAGTAACTGCCTAGGTACATTTTATTATAAAATTGAGCTGCCAATTACAGAAACACAATGAGAAGATAAAGAAAACCAACATCCTCCTAGGAATTTGAGATGATTTTTTATGCACATTTGAATGGAACTATATGTAATACCACATAAAATGAAAAGCACAAGAGAAGTTTTAGCCAGACTCTTATTTGCTTAGAAGATGAAACAACATATGCTACCTTTTCCAAACCACAATCTGTAAGATGAATGGACATGCTAAAGATATAAGCTACAAAAGATCGCTGCATTCCATCATCTGAAACACCGGCAGATAGAGAGGTTATCCATCCCTTAGCTTTGAGAAAGTAATGCAGGCTTCCTTTGCCCTCTGGAAAAAGGGGGGAGAAGAAGATATTACATTTGTGCTTTAGTACACATGACAAAACATATACAACATCATGGTTTAAGCAGCAAAAAAATTTCTCAATGAATAAACCAGAAACTAAGATATAAGCATTGTTTATCTCTTATATGGATCTAAACAATAAGGGAATAGTAGCAATCATATTAGTTTCAGGGTATTAAAATCTGATATCAGCATAATAGTAGTACTAGTAGTAGTTAAGCATATTGAATAAACTTGAGGGGTTAAGCATTGGAAATTGAAGCAAATGAAAAACACTATCTACATTCCACAGACTAATCAAGAATCACTTATCATTTATAAGGCATCAAAGCTGTGGACCGTTCACATTTTCTTCATATATGCATATGCATCCTTTTCTTTGTTATTATTACTTCCGTGAGCAACCTCCTACTTAAACATTAAGATAATGCAGAATTATATACCATGACCAAGAAGATGAGCCAAATAATCTTCCGGTTTCTTCAGATACTCTTGCAAAAGACAAGGTAGTGCCCAGCTTAACTCAAGGATATGGACATCCTTAACTGCCTCCAACCTATAAAGTTTTCCAGCTCTCCAGACAGGACTTTCCACCTTAAACTCTGGCTTCCCTTGAGAACCTTGTTTGACACCCGAAAACAATTCAACAACCCATTGCTGAAGTACATCCAAAGGCTCTACACCATCAACAAGTATTATCACGATTATGCTATTTAAGTAATGTAGACAAATATTTTAGACATTAATGACACCATAATTTTCTTCCAACAACCACATGTATAATAATTACTGAAATTCCTTCAAAAATTACAATTAATGCTTATATATGATATGTTTAAGTGTTTTATGGACAGATTATAAAGTTCATAATCAGCAATCTAAAATCTAAATAAGGCATGAGGATGGAGAGAGTTAGTGAGAGAGAGAGTGAGTCCGTCAAAAGTGAGGTTCCTGGCGATAACCTTAGAAAGGTTCATGGTGGAATTATTTGGTCAGCGTTCGTTGATAATCTTAGCAGGAGAGTGAGTCGTAGTGATTTATGGGCTCGTTTTAGTCATTTTGGTAAGGTTATTAAGGTGTTCATTTTGTTTATCAATAATAGACCGAAGTATAAGGTAAGCACGTTTGCTTTCGTCCATTTTGCAAGTAAGGAGGATCTGTGTAATGCAGTGGATAAGATGAACAACGTCCTGATTGATGGGAGAAGGATTTTAGTGGCTGTAGCCAAATATGAGAAAATATATGGGTCGAAGAGACAGAAAGATGGGAGGGTTGATGGAGTTAATAGTGCTGGTATCAGTGGGGGAATGGGTAGAAGATTGCCTTCTCAAGCTGACAGGGTGAGGAGGATGGAGATGCTGGATAAGTTTCATGATGGGAGGTCCTACAAGGAGGCGGTGGTGGGGGTGTATAAAGAGCCAGAGGGTGTGCAAGAGGGTATTCATTTTAATTCGAAGGAGTTGAATAACACTAAGGATGTTTCCATCCCAGTGGAGGATAGGGTCTGGCTTAGATCGTCTCTTACTGGTATCTTCAAAGATATTTTTGAACTTCATGTTGTGCAGAAAGCGTTAAGGAATGAGGGCATCAACGTAAAGGTTGTTAGGTGGGGTTTTTCTAAGAATGCGTGCCTGGTTGTGTTCCAATCGGTGGAAGAGAAGAATTTAGCAATGGAAGGAAAATGGGAAGCTTTGTCCTTCTGGTTTGAAAGGTTGGAGCCGGTATTGGATGAGGAAAGCATTCCCCGAGCTTTTTGTACGATCTCCATGATAGGAGTTCCTTTAAATTGCTGGTCGGTTCCGTTCTTCACTAGGGTGGTATCCAGGTGGGGCAAGTTAGTGAAGATTAAAGATGAAACTGCTCAGAGAGTGGACTGCAGAGTTGCACAGATGCTTCTTAGGGTAGTCAGCCCTTTTGACATCCCTGATCATACTTCAGTTACTACGAATGGAAGGAAATTTCTGATAAAAATTAAGGTTGATGGGGGGGATGATTTCTTTCCTGATTTTTCAGATCTGGCTGAAGAGATTGTTCCAGAGGATCCTTCGGTGGAGAACTCCTCCGGATGGAGCACAGAGGATGGGCAGGCACAGCATGGAGGTCACGTGGGATGTCAGGAAATGTCAGAAATCCATAATAGGGTGTTGGAGTGGGTTGCAGACTCACAACGTGGTAATGTCACAGATTCCGAGAGAGTTGTCTCCTCTCCACATGAAAAGTCGGAAGATCTTTTTGAAAGTAATAAAAGCGGGAAAAGTATGGGGGGGATCTTTTTAAGCTTTATAATGTTGACCGGGAGAGTGGGCCTAATTCAGGCCTTGGAGGGCATCAGTTGGCTGGTCTGGAACAAGAAAACTGCCTAAACTCTATGGGCCGTAGTTCTTTTTCATCAGATACAGTTAAGGATTCAGTAGGGGTTGAAGTTGGAGGAGGGGCTCCGGTTGGTTTAAAGCTGATAAGTTTAAGAGATGGTTCACAAACCTGCTCTGCAAGTTCGTTATCCATGAAGACTGCTCCGGTTGGAAGGAAATTCATCAGAAGTCATAAGAAAACTTATAGTAGGTCGAAGTCTAGAAAGATCTGGAATCAGGTTGTGAAAAATTGTAATAATGTGCATGATTGTAAGGAAAAGTCACGAGGGGTGTTCAATGGTGAGACAGGAAGAGCTTTAATTTCTAGAGGTTGTCTTTCTGATGTTTCCGAGGCTGCTGGTTTTTCGATAAAGGAATTGGACAGTTCTTGGGTGAGCAGACCATACAGGAGAATTAAAAGGTCTCTATTTAGGGAAGCTGTTGATCATGCTAGTGTTGATACTGTTTCCTCATCAGCTTTTCCTTTGCTGGTTGAGGAAGCAATTGCTACATGGGAAATTAGTAAGATGCTGGGGATATCTTTCAAGGAGGGGAAGGAAGCTTTTATACAAAAGATTGTTGAATTGGAGAAAGGGTTGAGTGGGGCTATTTGACCTCGAGATTTGTATGTGGGCTTTCTGGGTTCTTTTTATTTGAGTATCATGACTAAGCTAAGTATCTTGTCTTGGAACGTTAGGGGTTTGGGTAAAAAAGAGAAACATAGAGTTGTGCAAAAACTTGTTTCTGAGAAAAAACCGTCGTTTCTTTTTCTTCAAGAAACAAAACTTGAAAAATTACCAATGTCTTTTTTAAGGAGGAGTGGTTTGAATGGGTTGCAGGGGTTCGTTGAGTCTCCATCAATAGGGTCATCTGGTGGTATGTTAAGTTGTTGGGATGATAATTTTTTTGAGATTGACGATCAGTTTATTCATAGGAGGTTTATTGCTGTTTTTGGAAAGATCAAGTCTAACCACCTTAGGTGTGGCTTCATAAACGTTTATGGTCCGTCTGTGGAGGAAGAGAAGGCTGCTTTTTTTGATGAACTGGAATTGTTTTTAAACGGGTTCAGTATCCCTTTGTGTGTGGGTGGGGATTTCAATGCCTATTTGAATGAAGAGGAGAAGTTAGGCAGAGGTCATAACAGAAATTCACTGGAAATTTTTAATCACTTTATTCAGCAAACGGGACTTATTGATTTGCCTCTTGTTGGGGGGAATTTCACATGGAGCAGTTATCGAGATTTGCCGACGGTTGTAAGACTAGATAGGTTTCTGGTGAACTGTAATTTCTCAACAGAATTTTCCGGTATCAACCAGTTTCTTTTTCCTAAATCTATCTCCGATCATAATGCAATTTTCCTGGAGAGGGGGGTAGATAATTGGGGTAAGAGACCCTTTAGGCTGTTCAATTATCTATTGTCTGAGGATGGTTTTGAGAAGATGGTTGTTGAGTCTATTAAGCTGTTCAAAGAAGAAAATTCAAGAGCTGGAATTTTGAGTATGCTTAGGAATACAAAGTCTGCCATTAAGTGCTGGTCTGGAGATAGAAATCAATTTCCTCGAATGGACATCTCTATGTTAGAGGAAAAAATTCATCAGATTGAAAAGGGGATGCAACATCATCCTCCTTCCAATGATTTTGTCATTTCGATAGAGTTGAGGCTTTTGAGAAATGAACTTTGGAGACTTCTTAGAATCGAAGAGCAAATTTGGGTACAAAAGTCTAGAGAGAAGTGGGTCAAAGGTGGTGACCGTAATTCAAAGTTTTTTCACACTTGCGCTTCCATTAGGAGGAGGTTGAACTCTCTGTATGCTTTAAATGTTGATGGTGTCATCACCAAAGATCCAGGTCTTATCAAGTCTAGTGTCAGGGAGCATTTCTTTAAAGCTTTTAATTGTTGCTCAACAATGGAAGTGGAGGGTATTAACTTAGATTTCGCAAAAATTTCCCTGCAACAGAACCTATTGTTAGAGAAGGAGTTTACGGAAGATGAGATTTGGGGGACCATTAATTCTTGTGATAGTAATAAAGCCCCTGGGCCAGATGGGTTGAACATGGGTTTTTTTAAGAACTTCTGGCTTAGCTTGAAAGGTGATATATTGAAATTCTTCCACAACTTCTATTTGGGTAAGGAGTGGGAGCATGGTATTAACCATTCCTTCTTAACTCTCATCCCGAAAGGTTCTAATGTTGGGAGTTTAGATGATTTCAGACCTATTTCCCTTGTAGGTGGGATGTATAAGATCCTATCTAAGTGCCTCGCGAGAAGATTGAGATGTTGCATCAATGATATAATTCGCAAAAATTTCCCTGCAACAGAACCTATTGTTAGAGAAGGAGTTTACGGAAGATGAGATTTGGGGGACCATTAATTCTTGTGATAGTAATAAAGCCCCTGGGCCAGATGGGTTGAACATGGGTTTTTTTAAGAACTTCTGGCTTAGCTTGAAAGGTGATATATTGAAATTCTTCCACAACTTCTATTTGGGTAAGGAGTGGGAGCATGGTATTAACCATTCCTTCTTAACTCTCATCCCGAAAGGTTCTAATGTTGGGAGTTTAGATGATTTCAGACCTATTTCCCTTGTAGGTGGGATGTATAAGATCCTATCTAAGTGCCTCGCGAGAAGATTGAGATGTTGCATCAATGATATAATCAGTGAGTCTCAATTTGCTTTCATTCCTGGGAGACAAATTTTGGATTGCTCTTTTATTGCTAATGAAGGAATTGATTTATGGAGGAAGAGAGGCTTGAAGGGTTGTGTATTTAAGGTAGACTTTAACAAGGCTTATGATTCGGTAGATTGGGACATTTTATTTAAAGTTATGGCGAAGATGGGGTTCGGTTCTAAATGGTGTAGTTGGATCCGGATGTGTGTGTCAACTGCTTCGGTGTCAGTTTTAGTTAACGGGGTTCCTACTGATGAATTTCCTATGGGTAGAGGCCTTCGGCAGGGTTGTTCCCTGTCCCCTCTGTTGTTTAACCTTGTTGGAGAACTGCTTAACCTGCTGCTTCGTAAAGCAGTATCTTCGGGCCTTTTCAGTGGTCTGGTGGTTAGTAAAGATGAGGCCTCAGTCAACTTATCTCATCTGCAATTTGCAGATGACCTAATCATTTTCTGTAGTGCTTCGAAGACTCAGATTGTTAATGTTAAGAGGATCCTTCGGGTGTTTGAAATTATGACTGGTCTGGAACTGAATCTGTCTAAGAGCAGATTATTTGGGATTAATATTAATGAGGAAGAGCTTCTTCAGTGGGCTAATGCTATTGGATGTCCTGTAGGACATTTTCCTGCGGAATATTTGGGGCTGCCTCTTGGTGCTAAGAGAAACTCTATGATGTTGTTGGATCCGGTAGTTCAAAAGTTTCATTCAAAGCTAGCCGGATGGAAGGCGAAGACTCTATCAATGGCAGGGAGGTTGGTATTACTGAAGGCAGTTTTGGGTTCCCTTCCTATCTATTTCATGTCCCTTTTCAAGATGCCTTCTTCGGTGAGTGTTAAGCTGAATTCCATCATGGCCAGATTCTTATGGGGAGGAGGAGTGGAGGCTAGGAAAATCCATTGGGTCAATTGGACAAAAGTTTGCTCCGATAAAAGTGTTGGAGGTCTTGGTGCTATGAATATAAGTCTTATGAATAGAGCTCTCTTAGGGAGATGGTCTTGGAGGTTTGCTAACGATAAAGACTCAGTGTGGAAGAAGGTTATTTGCTGTAAATATAATTTGGATCCCAGTTTACTGCTGTTTAACGAGAAACTTCCTACACATGCTTCTTGGATTTGGAAATCGGTAGTCCTCAACCATTTCAAAAATGATCAGTTTGGAGCAAAGTTTCGTAGCAACTTTAAAGTCAGAGTGGGTGATGGAGGGAGCATTAGATTTTGGTTGGATAGTTGGGCACATGATTCCCCTCTTAAAGTGATTTTTCCGAGGTTGTATGTGCTGTCTATAAATAAGTATGGGAAGCTTTATGAGTTTGGGGAATTTCGATCTTCAGTTTGGTCTTGGCATGTTAATTTGAGAAGGAATTTGAGTGAATGGGAATTGGTTCAGTACTCTGATTTAATGACTCTAATCCACAATATCCCTCTTTCTCGGGAGTTATCGGATGGGTTGGTCTGGTATGGCAATGGGGAAGGTGTCTATACTGTTAGTTCGAGTGTTAAGTCATGCAGGCCTGTTGGTATAACAGATCCCTTTTGGAAGAAGTATGTTTGGAGGGGATCGGTGCCTCCTAGAGTGGAGGTCTTCTTGTGGCAGGTCGTGCACCAGAGACTGCCAATTAAAGTTGAGCTACAGAGGAAAGGAGTTTCAACTATTGTGGATATTGCTTGCCCTTTTTGCGGAGAGGCGGATGAAACCTCAGCACATTTATTCTTTTCTTGCTCGGTGGTGTGGTCCTTATGGAATAAATTTTTGATTTTCTGGGGAGTTTCTTCAGTTTTTCAAGACAATGCTCACAGCTTTATGGTCGCTTGGGATGAATTGGTACCTAATTCGAAAATTTGGTCCTTCATTCCGGGGGTGGTTTTATGGACAATGTGGAAGGGTAGGAATGCAATTGTGTTCGAGGGGGGGAAGGTAGATCAGATTGATTTATTCTTTTTGGCAAGGTGTAGACTGGCTGCTTGGTTCTTAGCTTACTACAAGGTTGTATCTATCCCTAAGGACTCTCTTATTTGTGACCCTTCACTTGGGGATTGTTGCTCCTTTTTAAGCTCTCCTATTATCAAAACTGTGTCCTGGTCTAATCCTCCAGAAGGATTTATTAAGCTGAATGTGGATGCGGCTGTGACTGCAGATTGGAGGAAGAGTGGTGTTGGGGGCATTCTTAGAGTTCATGATGGTTCGGTGGTGGGCTCTTTTCTAGAGGCTGCTGGTCCAGGTCCTCCTGTTTTGTTAGAACTCAAGGCAATTATGAAAGGGTTATCTTTCTTTGACTCGTTTCAGCAGCGGTTTAAGGAAAGGTTAATTGTTGAATCAGACAGTAAATTAGCAGTGGATTGGGTCAAGAACATCGACCGTTGTCCCTATGTTTACTTAGACATTGTGACAGCTATTGTTGGCAATGTTAGTGGACTGAATAGTAGTATTAGATGGGTTGCTAGGTCAGCCAATGTTGAGGCTAATAGTTTAGCTAAGGCTGGTATTGGATAGATCTCTGTTTTGTTTAGTTGGGTTTCTATTAGGTTTTGGGTTGCTTATTTGTATGATAGATTGTATGGTTGTTTTAAGTCTTTGTAACTTGTGGTTATCAATGAATTATTGAGGCACTCTTTTCCTCCTTCCGCTGATTAAGGAACACCGTGTGATCCTTTAATCATGAAGGGGGTTTTTAAAGAGGCCTACCTTTCCTATCAAAAAAAAATCTAAATAAGGCCAAATGGGTAAGAAAAATAAAAAAATGGATGGAAATGGGGAAAAAGAGGCAGTGAAAATAAATATGATCATTGTTCAAAGCACTTTTTCCAGCAGAGACTAGCAATAGAGAGAGACTAAACGATGGCCACTAATCTAGAGAACCACAAAAGAGTAACTTACCACCACCAATTACTACTAACTTCATCAGACCACCATGGTAATAATCTTTATACAGTTCTAGTATTTGTTTGCGTAGATCAAACCCTCTCTCGGCAGCATCAACCAGGCTCTTCTTGTTTCCTACCATTTCAGAAAACGGAAATTCCCATTTTCATACCAGTAGAGATAAACAAATCATTCAAAAAGTGAACAACAATGACAAGGATCTCACCCCAAAAGAATCTATTAAAAGGGTGACCGTGTTCAGATGTATGGCACTGGAGTTGCTGAAGGCGACAAATATCATTCTGCAAAACCTGGTTAAATTCTACAATTCCATTTTGGTAGAAATTAGAATTCCACTCAGAAATCATGAATCAGTACAGGTAACAACAAGTGTAAACTAGAAAGAGAACAAATTTCCTATATTTAGAAGAAGAAAAAACAGAGCAGGGGGATGCATGAAAACAGATAATAGACAGAGATCCATGGGGCAAACCAGAATCCACAGCAAGCACCTCTCGATCCATTGCTTCAAGTTTTACAAGGGGTGAAATAAAAAACTGAGAGAATCTGATAAAGACAAAAGACCAACATAAGGATCAAATTTGGACGATTTGGGGAACCAGTATATAAAACAAAGAGCAAATTATTACTCCGTTAAAAAATTCTATAACAAAGCTCGAATCGAGAAATGGAAAGGAAGTGGAAAAAGTAATTCAACTACTAAAGCTCCTCCCTTTTATAGTTTGATCATTTACCTTCTCAAAGCACCCTTGAGAAATTCTTTTTCAACTTCAAAATGATAGCAGGTATGCTCAACTTCTGTATATGCATTTGATGAGCCTCCGTGTTTGGATAAGTAACTATCATACTAGCAAAGAAGAGTGTCAATGTTACTAGGACAAATAATTATAACATAATCAAATAATAAACGCACTGTCTAGATGTAGGCCAAGAAAGAATGCACTGTTTAAATTAACAATAGAAGAAGCTAGCAAATAAAAATATTTTCTTGTGGATATCAAGTATAGTAGTAGGAAAGAACATGGGTGAACAAACCTCGTTTTCATCAGGAAATTCAGTACTCCCCATGAATAGCATATGTTCTACGATAAAATAAAGAAAATTCACGAATATTAAGCAGAGCAGAAATTAGTGCAGTTGAGCAGAATGAATAGACTGAGAGTAACGAAACCTAGAAAATGAGCGAGACCCTGAGCTTCAGGAGGGTCAGAAAAGCTGCCAAATCCTACGCACAATGCTGCCGCTGCCTGCAACCAAATTCACAATCGATGAATCAATCTAATGTCTGGACTTCAATCAATATAAGAAAGGGAGAAGTCAAACCTTTTTAGACTGAACGGCCTTCTCTTCAACCTGTTTCTCATCGTCAGTGTCCTCTTCTTCTTCGTCATCTGCATCCTCATCTCCATCTCCATCCTCATCTTCATCTTCGTCTTCGCCGTCGTCTTCAGTTCCACCTTCAGTGTCAGCCTTATCTAGCAAATGAGAACCTTCAGGAAGTCCGTCGGGGTAAATCTGGGGATCGTGAACCAGCAAAGCGACGAGGCCATTGTCGAGCTCGATTACCCTGTAGAGTCGGCGGTCGTTTGCAGACTTGATTACCACGCTGTCCGATGAGTACCTCAGTCGGCTTCCGTCGGCAACCATCGTCAATTTCTCCACCTCGATACGAAGCGTTTACAATTACAAAAGAGAGGAAAACTTCGATTCTTTGTAAGAGTCAAATATATAATGTTCTAAAAGTAAATATGCTCCAGCAGTTCATCAACTTAAAACAAACTATCCCAGTCCGCCAGTCGCCCTCTAGGTCTTCCTTTGTGCAGCGCATATAAGCAAAGCATCGAATCATAAATAAATTAAAGCGTAAAATGCACTCAGGTTATTCGATTATTAGTTAGGTTACAGACCGGTCATCTAATTTCAAAAGGTTATAATAGAGTCGCTCAATTGAAATTTTGTTACAATCGAATCACACATCCGTTAAAGAATGAAACATCAAACATATATATGATGAGGTTTGATATAATCATATTTTTCAACCTTAAAACTTATATTTTCTATCAAATTATTTATAATTCAATAAATTTAATCTTTCAACTTAAAAATCTATTAATTTGAGGTTAAAAATGACTCGTTTATAATCTAACTAAAAATTAAGCGATATAAAATATATTTTATATAGAATTGCGCTTTCAATTTGAGAAGAGCCCAATATCAAAGCCCAACCTTCTTGTCATTAGGCTCGTAAACAAACCGAATGAACACAAAAGATGGTATGTTCATATTCGTTCGTTTAACTTTAACCTAACGAACAAACACGAACAACTAAACGAAAGAAATTGTTTATTTGTGTTTGTTCATTAAGAAATTTAGCATATTTGTGTTCGTTCATGTTCGTTCGTTTAAATGATAAACGAACACAAATGAACGAATCGTAAACGAACACAAACGAATGAACATAAACAAAATAATTGGGTTTATATTTGAGAAGAGTTTTTTTTCTTTTCAAATATTTTTAGGATTTATATTTTCTTTAATTGATTTGAGTACTTTTTATTTGGGTTTAAAATTAATTGAGTTTAAAAATATTAATGGGTTTAAGGTTAAAATTTATTAAGTCTTTTATATTTCAACATGGGTCTGGTGAACATAAACAAACAAACATAAACGAATAAATTATCAAACTTTCACAAACGTAAATGAACGAATGAACATTTTATTCGTGTTCGTTCATTTAATAAATAAACAAACATGAACGAACTTCCAATCGAACAGTTCACGAACAATTCAATGAACGTTTGGTTCGTTTATAGACCTACTTCTCATGTGTACTTAAGTCATCTTGTAATAAAAAAATTCAGTTCAACTCGAAATTATTTGACAGACCCTTTCCACCGATTATCAATGGTACCAATCAATTTAAAAACGTTGGACTTTGAGACGTTGGACTTTGCCTACTCTTAAACAATTTTCTCTGAGACGTTGGACTTTGCCTACTCTTGAACAATTTTCTCGTCTAGTATCCATAGAAAGCAACGACCAAGATATTGAGTTCAGGAACACCATCTAACAACCAAAAGCACAAAGGAAAAAGAAAACTCGGAAAGATATCAAACAAAATAAGAAAGACTTTCTTGACTGTATTCAGCTATAGTACTAAATTGCCACAGCAAAGCATCGTAATGCCCGCATCATAACGTTTTTTAAGGTTACCGTGACACAATATCGACGCAACGCGATAAGGGAATCACATCACGATTGTTGCAGTCAAAAACCGTTACGTAACATCGCAACACATTATAAATTGTGCCGTAACAAACTTTAAATTATCTGAAATATAAAATTACATATATGAATTGTTTTAATTTATTTCTGAAAACTAGATTATAAATATATATCATTAATAATATAGTAATAGTTATGTTTAAAATTAGTTACTTAAATTTGAATTAATTAAATTATTTATTAACGTTATTTTAAATTTAAATTAATTTAAATTTAAATTAAATTTTTCTCATATCTAAAATTGATATGATTAATTTTAAATTAAATTTTATATTAACATTAAGTATTATAATTATATGTTTATTTATTATTATATAAATTTTGTATAAGAGAGGAATTCACTTTATAATACTATAATAGTATATGTATTTTATCTATTTACTATGAAACTATAAAATTTTATTTAATCTATTTACTATAAAATTTTATCATACAACATGTTTCCTACCAATGATACATCTTATGATGCACATAATGTGATGTCATCTTCACATGGAATAGCAAGGAATCAAAACCAAGACAATAACGAAGATGTAAATATTTAAATCCGTCACGCCATTAATTTTGGTGGTTAACTGTAAATTATAAATTTTTTATATTTGTAGTTATGTATTTTTTCTTTCTAAGTTATGTAAAATGAACATTTTAATGTTATAATATAAAAAAATTTGATATGATTTTAATGATATTGTTTATATGTTATTCATTAACATTATAATTGTTATTACCCATCATCTAGTATGATAATACTTCTATGGTTTATATTTATTTTTAATAAATTTTTGTCTATGAAATTAATTTTTTTTCCAAAATAAAATATTAAAAGAGTATATTAATATTATTTTATTAAAAGATAACGGTAAATTGTATACATATAATATTTTAGACTTATTGTGATTTTTGGGGAAGAGATCACGTCCGCAACAGCCTCATCACATTACGGAACGTCTGCACCATCTGCAACCGCAATACCATAACTGCATCCGCAACAAAATTCACAACAGCAATTTGATACTACGGGGTTCACTGAATTTGCATGGATTTAACGCTAGCAAACTGTGTGTTCTGTGGCAGCTTCTTGGACGGTTCAAACAACTCATCCAAAAGATGTTGAATCCTGGGTTTATTGAATGATTAACGTGACTTTTTTGGCTTAAAAATTAACACGTACTGATGTGATCATTTGCTAATGGCTTTGCATTTTATGCGATGCCTTTGCCTCAAATTAATTATCTAACCAAAAAGGCAAAACAAAAGAAAGATGAAATTTTGTTCATATACTATTACTGATACCCAGTGGTTGTACTGAAAAGAATTACGAAATAAGTAATATAACGATTAAATGGCAATTAGTTCATCTTTGACAAAGTATTGAATAGATAAGAAAATAATACAGCAAGCTATTATAAGGGGAGGTGGTGATGACTGAAAGGGGAATATGCTGGTGAGCTAGCCACAAAAGATGGGGTGCTGCTACTCATGGTCATCGTCATCGTCGCCGTTCTGACACTTGTTGGACTCCTTTGAGGGCTTTTTGCCCTCGATATCATGTTCACTGAACTCCGCCCATCTGTTCGCTCCCCGCTTCTTCGTGGCCCTTTCTCCTCCCACTTCAGCTCTGCTTGCTTCACTGTACTCGGGTACCTCCAACAGCAACCCATCTTTCCTGCTCTTTTTATGTACCTATCCATCAAACATAATGCATTCAAGGACCGACGTAAACTTTTAATGTCAAGAGCGAATTTATAAAATTTCAAGGTGAAAACATATTATTATTATTTTCACACATACATATATATGTGTATATAAAAGTACCTTGGGCTGAATCTTCTCCCAAGACACATCACGCACTTTCTGCCTTCAGTCATTTCTCCCATGCCTACACAAACACATTGCCTGCAATACACCCTTCCACAAACCTGCATGTATATCAGTGGTTTTCTTGAATTGCTCAAAAATATATTTTGAATTTGGTTAGTTGAGAGCAACAAAACATACCAGGCATCGATGGCGGAAGATGTAGATATAAGTACTGCAGATGGTGCATATGTTCGAGTGAGGAATCCCAGGCCGCCGCCTCTGTCCTCGTTCCGGATAGTTGGAAGCCATGCTTACCACGCTTACATCATCGTAGGCCAGGCTTCTCTCCATCCCATGTCTGAACTGATCCGTATGAGCTCCGGGACTGGTGGCATGCCTTTGTTGATGATCCTTCCATGCATGGCTATCATGATGACGTGGACGATGGTGGTGGTGATCCATTTCCATGTGTGAACCGAAGTCGTCGCCGCTCTCTTCGGGATAGGGTTTATGGTGAAGGTGTCGTCGTTGCTGGTGATGATGGCTGGTCTCTTGCAGGCCCCTATTGAAATCGAGGCTGGGAAGTTTGGTCAAAGATGATGCTTTGCCTTCATGGACGGTGTCCATGGTGGTAGATTTCTTCTTGTTGTTCTCAGATGGGTCTGTTGTTTTTTGCTGCATGTCAGCAAAGTCCTGGAAAGTGAGATTAACAGAGTCATCCGGGACCCCCAGATATAGTTCTTCGAGCTCCATTCTGGCCTTTGCCAGTCTTGCCCTATCCCCCATTATGATTCTCAATGGCTTCCGAGCTCTAACAACAGAGAGAGATTTGTGGGGGGAGTCGAGTGTTCCCAGTTAAAAAAGGGGGGGAAAGCGCGTCTTATTATCACGCTTCATTGGAAATGGAGACGCGTACATAATAAAAATGCAAAATATTGCAAGGCCGGACTTGACGATGTAATGTATATACCTTGGCCTGGACCCTCTTCGTCCTCATTATCAAAGCCATATGCTATTTGATTGCAATTAGTTTAACTTGGTGTCGGAATCAAGGAAAGCGATATACTCATTTTGTTCGGTTTAAGGGGTACTTCAAGGTTCATTTCTTCATCTCTTTTCAGTGGTTCAAATCCATGGATCCGGGTTCACTCAATGGGTTTGGTTTCTATTAGTCTAGCTCGAGTGGGTTTGGCTCAAGTAGTCTGATTATTTATCAGCGAAGTTCCAAGGGTTTGTTTCATTGCTGCTGTTCAACGGTTGAATTAGTGAGTTTCTAGAGGTTTGGTTCATTTTGAATAAATTATTATTGTTTATATTAAACAAAAATTATGATCACGTGATAAAATCTACTTGGATAAAATGAAAAATTATATAACAATCTGAGGACAAATTATAAATCAGATAAATTGAATTGTTTCGAAGGAAAAAGTTTATAAGAAATTGCATCACTGTCGTCGAAACAATTCGTCATGGTTTCACAAGGAAGCCACAGTATATATATCGTCAGATGGATAGTACATATATATATCAACCAGCTGCAAGCAGGCCAAAAATAAGACAAACGCTCGGCCGGACCTTTTAAATATTAGCAACTATATATATATGTATATGTATTGTCAGAACAGAAACGACAAAACGATTTAAGTAAAGATAAAATTAAGCAAATGCAAGGCACTTGTTGTCAATGAAAGCTTCCCCTCTTAATTGCAAATTCATTATTGGACTTGGGAACTGTTTAATGGAAAAATACATGTCACCCTCCCTTGGCAAAATATTAATCGATATAATCATTACCAACATGCACTGAAAAAGTTGAAAGCATGCATCCCCCTTCCATCCCCACCAAAAGAAAAATGAAAAAAGGACACACAATTTCATTGTTAAACCGACTGATCACATTTGAATAAAATAAATTAATTGATAAACAAGACAACCTGTGGCTGCCATAACAAATTTGGAAAGCGACAGAGACAGAGGAACCACCTAACACCATTTACTTGGTATACATGTAACCTGCTTAACAAGGTTACTGCAGTGCTTGTGTGTGTGTTGTAAAGGGAAAAATAAAAGAGCAGAAAGTCTGTGGATGATATTTTCATTGAAGACCATTTCTCTCTGTGTTTGGCTCCTCGTGTCCTTCACACTTCCATCCAACCTATACAAGAAACTCTTCATCGGAGAGGAGTCTCTCATTCTCTTTATTAGCTTTTGACTGCAAATGGGACTCGAGGCTACCCTTTTGTTGTTGCTCACTCTTTAAGCTTGAAATCGTATTTTGCTCAATGTGATTTTCTACTGGCATGCTGCTGGCATCTTCAACAAAACTCATCATATTCGATCCTTCTCCTTCAAGTTGTACATCTTCACGATTGGGGTCACAATTCAGGTCTATTTGTCCAGTGATGGCCTCAGCTACCTCGCCTTCAATCCTTCTTTGACTTGCTTCGTTTTCTGAATGATCATTTCTTGTGTCCTTCACCTCTGTTTCATCCATTTGCTTCTTATCATCCCTGGGAAATTTCAGCTTCACGTTCTGATTGGTGTTTCTTCTTCCGCAGCATAAGTGTTTTAAACCGGCGCTTTACTATCAAGCACACATTAAAAGTGCACGTTGACTTGTGCTTTTCCTTTCCACTTGGAGGCTGAATGCAAACAATGCAGGTACAGCCAGGGCGGTGTCTAGGGTGTTTTGTTGTAGATGCTGCAACTGAAGACACCCCCAAATCGCCCATTTTGTCACCTAGAACTGCAGCGCTTGCCAGAGCATCCAAGCCTGAAGGTTCAGGTTCTGTGGCTAGCTTAGGGCTTTCTAGAACCTTTGCCGCCTTCAAATCTGGGAAAGATATAAAGGGAAGATAGTAGTTAAGAAGCATAATGGAATTCAAATAGGACATCAACCACATAAGTCGATACATATGTGTGGTGTGTGTGAGCGTATATATTCACACCAAATGACGAAAACCATGCAGCACTGTCAATTTCATGAATCTTTTACCTGGAGAAAGAAAGTACAAAGCAGTATATATGGTTGGTCAAGTATCGTGACAAACAACGATATCCATATGCCACTTTTCAAGAAAAAAAGAAAGAAGATATGCATATGTCTACCGGCTCAAATGTGTGCAAAACTAATGAGCATTAGTAAATATGAATAAAGGATCATTTATAACAGAACAAGCGTTCAGGATCCATCTTATTATAGAAAGAACACCTGCTTTATCTTTCTAAAACTATCCTAAATAATGAGCCACAGAACCTCTTCTAGGACAGTGCCCTACCTGTACCCACTTTGAGAATATTCTCCAGTTCCTTTGGGCTAATCTCCTCTGGTGCAAAACATGCACACCTAGGAACACATTACTGAATCAGCAAATCATGAACATCAAAACTAACTTTTCATCTCAGAAAATTCACATCAAAATGTAGAACCTGCTTCAATCCCAAACATTATATGAACATGTCCACTTTGGTGGAAGGAGAACATCAATGAGTAACCTTCGCCATTTGGAGCAATCTTCGCACTGGGCCCATTGCTCCTGTCTCCTACAGACAGTCCTTAAAACATTCAACATTAAACAAATATAGGTAACAAAGAAGTCCTTTACCAAATATGCAGCAATGCGAGATCTTAAAGTTGTTGCAGATTCTATGAAATTATAATCGACGATGAACTGGTGGCACTCCCAATGAAAAAAAAAAAGAACAGAAGAAGAAGAAAGGAAACTGGAAAGTCACAGTACTGTTTAAGAGAGACCACATAACAAAAGATCAGGAGAGAGAACGAATCAGAGTGTTGGTACAAAACCAAAGTTTCCCAAACTGAAAGGCTTGACCACCGTCAAAAGGAAGAATTTTTTACATTGACACGTTGTCAATGTGCACGATCAGGAAATAGCTCCAAAGTTTACACCTCTGGTATCAGACTCAATAATTCAATTAAAACAAGTTCAAATAATGTTTTAGAGTTCTTAGTCTTTTGTATATCCCAAACCATAATCTCGCAAGTTCTATCAAAAGACAAATACTATAACCACATTATAAATTAGTCAACTGTCAGATTTTCCAATAACAAGTGAGAAAATATAGAGTAATGTGCTTACCCAGATGGAAGGGCACCAAATATAGTCCTCTTTCCAAAAACAGGGGGCTCCTAAATAAGAAAACATCATTGATCACAAACTTCAAACAAACATAGTAAATAAGAATTTGCATTGACAAGCCATCGAGGAATCATTTAGCATAGGAAACAATTATTGATCCGTACATCATATTCTTCAAACTTATGTCCTCAATAGTCACAATGTAATACCCCAAATATTAGGTCGGGGACTAAATTGAAAAGAATTAAAATTTGATGATTTAATTGAATAATTGGTAAAAGATGAGCAAAAGATTTGAAATAGTATTTTGAACTAAATTGTAGTAATAAAAGAGTTAAGAGGGCATTTTGGTCTTTTAAGAGGAAAATGAAATTTAAAAATAGTTAGGGATTTTAAATAGGAAAGAAAGAGGAAAATAAAGTGTATTTTCTACACTACTTCTTCTTCTTCTTCTTCTTCTTCACGTGGGTGCCCTCTTCTCCCTAACATAAGGTAAATTCTCCTTAGCTAGTGTTTTCTTTAAATTATGGGTTGCTTTGGTTATGTTAAGTGATATATGCGCATAATAAAGGATTAATGGAGATTAAAGTCATGAAATGGAGAAAATATTGGTATTTTAGAAAAATGGGTTTTGAGATGAAATGTTAGAATATTGGTGTTTATTGAGGTTTATTGGTAGATTTGACTTACTAAAGAGATAAATGAGAGATTAGAAGTATTAGATGGGTTAAAGAACATATTAGAAAAAGTGGCTTGATTATTAAAAATTGAATGTTCTTGAATGATTTTAGATGTTCTAAGAGGCTAAATGAAGGAAAGTTAGTAAGGTTAAGTAGAAAAGTGTTATATAGTATTGTTAGGGGAAAAGGAGATGAAAATTGACCCAAAGTTGGGTAAATTTCGGGGGAAAACTGGAAAATCTAGGTAGGGGTATCTGTACCCTATGGAACGGTACCGATACCATAGGCAAAAATTAGGCTAAATTATTGATGAGTGTTCATAATCGTTAATCTTTGCTCATTATTTCTTCGATTTTGTGGAGTTATTGCTGCTGATTTGGTTGTGTTATGCTATTTTCGTGCAGGTCCTTACTTTCCAGAATTAGTGATAAAACGGGTGAATTCTGCATTTTTTTATTATTTGGTCACGGCTGGAGACATGGGCACGACGCGGTCTGATGTGGCAGTTTCTAGAAGGTCCAGTCAGCGGCGGTTTCTAGAAGACTTCGTCCGCACGCCTTCTGGAAGATTAACGAGCAGAGTTGCATTAGGAGACTAGTTTAAGTTTGAATTTAAATTTAAAAAACAATTATCTTTTGTATTATTTTATTATTTTCTTTGCTTATCCTTTAGGCTTTGAGAGGCTATAAATACCCACTTGGGGTAAGCCTAAACTCATTATTCGGAATACATCCTTCTTTTCTCTCTAGTTTTTATAAAAGTTTTCTCATTTTCATTTTCAAGTTCTTTTATTTTTCTTTATTTTCAAACTTGTTTTTAATATGCTAAGTATGACTTTTGTCATGCTTAGCTAAACTTTTCATAAGCCGAGAGCTGTCGCGATACTCAATTCCAACAGGAGAATTGAAACATGTCCCTAATATCTTCGGAAATCTCTCTCAATCTTTGTGCTTATTCTTTTTCAAAATCAAAACATTTTTCAAAATCAAAGATTGACTTTGGTCAAGAGGTTGTTGCGATTAAACGTATGGGAGGAAGATTCGGCTTATAGAAAGCAATTCGACTTCCTGGGAACACACTTGGCGAGATAGCTTCGCCAAGAGGGATTTGAGATTGGAATTGACGGTTATAGAAGCAATAATCCGAGTCGGTCGCCATGAACTTAAACGGTAATTGATCTACAACAATAGATGTTGATAGAATCAATTCCCGAAGCCGGAATCAAAGATTGCCTTGTGTATTCGGTATACAAGATAGAGTTACGGGGATAGCCCTCGTAGACAAAGTAACCGACGTGAATCCCGAAGAGAAAATCTTATTCGATGATCTAAAGGAAATTGAGTCAAAGCAAGGCTTGAGGCTATTTTTACCGTATTTATTCACAACCTTTATTCTCTTATTTTTTTTACTTTAATTACTTTTATTTATTTAATCGTTTTTATTACTACTTAAATCTCATTCTACTAAACCCCCCCCATTTTACTATCTTTCACGCCTGACATAGACCAATCAAACATAAATTAAGAATTTTCTAAGTCCCTGTGGATTCGACCCTACTTCTTTACGCTACGAATTTTCCTTTATTTATTATCTGAGAAGAAGGAAATTATTTTGACATCGAAACAACAATTGTCAATTTGGTGCCGTTGCCGGGGACTTCGCCAAAGTTACCAATTTTTGTTTGCCTTTGATTTATGACCAGGTCTAATCCGGGCACATTAATGGAGTACGACCCAGAGATTGAAGCTAAAGCTAGGAGACTCCACGCACAGACACTTCAGGAAAGAAGAAGACAACAAACGAATCCAGAAGAAGAATCAAATTCAGGTAATACAATTCCGATGGCCGAACCTACTATTCGGGAGTTAGCCACGAAACCCACTGAACAAGGACCTATGTGCATTGATTTTCCCCAGGCGAAACTCCGTACCAATTGAAAACTGGCCTTATTCATCTCCTCCCTACATTCCGTGGATTGCCAAACGAGGATCCACATAAACATCTCAAGGAATTTCACATGGTCTGCTCCAACATGACACCACAAGGAGTAACCGAGGACCAAATCAAACTTAGAGCTTTTCCTTTTTCCTTAGCCGAATCGGCTAAGGAGTGATTATTTTTATATTCCTCCTAATTCTATTACTACATGGGCTCACATGACTCGTTTTTTTTCTTGATAGGGTTTTCCTTACGGCAAAAGTAAGTGAACTACGAAGAAGAATACTCGGAATTAAACAACTTGATGGAGAGTCACTTTACGACTACTAGGAGCGGTTTAAGAAGTTATGTTCTAGTTGCCCACAACATGGGTTAGCTGAACAAACACTCCTTCAATACTTTTACGAAGGACTATCTCCCCTGGAAATGAAGATGATCGATGCAGCCAACGGTGGAGCCTTGGTGAATATGACTCCTACAGAAGCTAGGGACTTAATATCCACGATGGCCGTAAATTCCCAACAATTTCGCACAAACAATGAACCTTCTCGAAGGGTTCATGAGATAAGTTCATCTTCCTTAGAAAATAAAATTGAAAAGTTAACTGAATTCGTAAACTCTCTTGTTGCAGGAAATACAGGACAAAAGCAACTATGTGGAATATGTTCATTACCTGATCATCCAACAGATGGTTGTCCACTGATTCAAGACGACGCAGCAGCTCAAGTCAACGTAGTCGGGAATTTCCCGGGACCTCCCCAAAGAGCTTATAATCCCAACGACAATACATACAACCCAGGATGGAGGGATCAATCCAAATTTCAGCTATGCTCAGAACTGAAGACCAAATCAAGGCTATCAAGCGAGACCACCTCCACCACAACAACAACCACAAAAGACATCATTAGAATCGATTGTCGAGAGGTTAGCACTATCCCAGGAGAAATTCCAGACTCGAACTGAAGCCCACTTCCAAGAGATGGACAAACAGATAAGCCAACTGGCGCAAACCTTAGGCTGTTTGGAATCACAAGGTAAGTTTCCGTCTCAAACTGAAGTAAACCCGAGGGAAAACGTCAGCGCCATCACTCTTCGGAGTGGTACATTAGTGGCTTCGCCTGTCCCATCAGACCAGGCAGTCCAAAAAGAGAAGGAGATCAATGACGCAGGACCCCAGAAAAAGAATGATGAAGAACAAATGGACGATCCGACGCCATCTCCCTACGACGTGCCACCACCTTTTCTATCAAGGTTAGTTAAAAATGATAAAAAGACTGAGGAAAAGGAAATATTAGACATACTTCGGAAGGTGGAAGTTAACATACCTCTCATTGAGGTTATCTAGAATGTTCCAAGGTATTGTCGATTTTTGAAGGATCTCTGTACGACTAAAAGAAAGCTTACCGGGGTCGAGAAAATGGATTTAGGCGCGAACGTCTCAACAGTTTTCCAACGACCGCTTCCATCGAAGTATAAAGACCAAGGTATGTTTTCAATACCTTGTAAAATTGGCGAGGTTAAAATCAAGCGAGCTATGTGCGATCTAGGTGCCTCTATTAATGTAATGCCTCTCTCCGTCTATAATTTAATTTCCACCAAGCCTTTGAAGGAGACGAGAGTTACACTTTAGCTAGCCGACAAATCAATTATTTATCCTGAAGGACTCATAGAGAATGTTCTAGTAGAGGTAGAAAATTTAATTTTCCCTACTGATTTTTATGTGATTGATATGGAAAATGATCGTAGCAACATTGGTTCTGAAATCCTCCTCGGTCGTCCCTTTCTGAGCACGACAAATATAAAAATTGATGTTCGAAGCGGTATTCTTACTATGGAGTTCAACGGTGAGATCTTAAAATTTGATGTTTATAAAGCAATGAGATGTCTGGATAACGTTCATAATATTAATTTTGTTGGCATTTTTGAACTTTTTGTTGGTAAATCTAACTTGGTTGATGATTTATGCAAGGAGTCGGATGATAACAAAGATGAAATAAGGGAGTTGAAAAATATTTCAGTTGTTGATTCAAATTTGATCTTAACTCCTTTAAAAACTAAAAATTTACCTTCCTTTTTGCAGGCACAAAAAATTAAGTCGAAATCATCAAGGAGCCGTTTGAAGAAATTATTTTTTGGTAAAAAAGATGTTTTGACGGCCATTCTTCTGGACAAGATTTTAAAATTGGGAAATATCCGAAGAAATCTTTGTGAGAATTTTCAAATTTCTCATAAAGAACTTCTTAGTTGGAAAAAGCGAATGAAGTGGAAGTGTCTGTCACAGAACCTGTAGTCTGAATCAGGTCGTCGAGCTAACGGCATTAAACAAAAGCGCTTCATGGGAGGCAACCCATTGTTTTCAATTTCTTTACAATTTTTATTTTTATCTTCACTTTTTGTTTCATTTTTATTCGATCAAACATGTTTAATTTAATTTCTATTTTTATTTTGCAGGAACCAAATATTTTTTTTTCAAACTTAAACGAAGAAGAATTGAGGAAATTTCATTCGAACTATGCCAATTTTGGAACCCACAGAGCAGTGAACAGTCACACAAAGCAGAAAAAAACCCCAGCCCG